TTCTCCACCAGCCACTCAAAGATCTCATTTTGCATGTAAAAGAAAATGTAGCCGGTGTGAAGCCGATTCTCTTGAATCAAGGCCTCGGGGATCTCGAACACTTGGACATCGCTGTACAGCAGCCAGGCTCGCCGTTGGAAGTCATACACGTCGCTGACGTAGTGGCCTGAATCTTGGGAGCTCCCAAAGTGGCTGACGACACCGACAAGCCTGTAATTCTGAGGGTCTTCTGCCATGGCCTCATTGGCTGCATCTGAGTGATCCATTCCTGCAACTCTGGGGCTCTCGGTGTACCCCAGAGCGCTCAAGAAGTCGGCATCGATTTTCGGATCGACCATTTCTGAATACCTGTTCATGTTCTTCCCCATGTCTTCCTGAGTACCCCTGACACTTTGGGGTAATGCCCAAGGAAGCAATTCCTTCTGGATTCTTTTCCCATGCTGCTGGAGGAGCTGCTTGCCTATTTCTTGAGTATCTTCCAGGAACTTTTGTTCTTTGAGATCGCAGAAGTTGTTGCAAATCTCGATGATGGTATGGTGATTTGGGTTTCCATATACATTGATTTTCTTGTAGTTCTTGCTGTCTGGATTCTCAGGGAGCTTCTGGAGACCCTTCTCTCTGAGGCCCAGGTCTTGGATGCTGATGGGTTCGCAGATGATGGAGTCCCACGAGGGCGATGTATTTTCGCAGAGCATCCATTTTTCCGTCTTCAGTAGGTCCGGGTCTATCCCAGAAACACCTTCTAGGCCGAGCTGCTGCTGGTCGTCACACATTATCTGGAAGTTTTGCATCTCGGCATCCTCGTTCGAGCCCACCTGCAGGACTGTGAAGTCGATGGACACGGAAGTTGGCTGGATGGAGGGTATCGAGTGCCCAAAGATCTCGTGCATGGTTCCTTCAACGCCTGGGACGTCAAAGTCGCCGTTGGAATTCCTGGTGGTCACCGGAAATGGCTGCTTCGTGTTTTAAGCCACCGTTAGGTACTTCGAGATCTCCACGGGCTGCTGACTCTTCACCAGCATCCTGTTGGCGGTAAAGTGGTAGCGTTTCAGGTGCACAATCAGGACCCTGGGGAGCCTCCTCCAAGTGTACCTGAGTACAGAATTCTTGTTCTTGCAATTCTCACAGTTGTGCTCGATTTTCTCAGGTGTGAAGAAAAGATCCAGAGACTTCTGAATGGACAGAGGGTGATCCTTCGTCCCCTGGGGCAGGTCGACAGAGAGATAGTTGCTGACTTCGGTGTTGAGAGTAGCTTCCCCACAACCTTCGCAGACGATGGAGCTGTGCAGCTCGATTTCAAAATTCGCAGCCACCGGGCAGATGAACCTTCTGGAGGAGGCAGCTTCATTTTCCCTCTCAGAACAGCACATGGCGTTGAGCTTTTCCATGTTCAGTTTCAGCTGCTCCAGGCACTGACTTAGAAACTCGTGGGCATCGTTCTGCTCGTCGCCCAGGAATGTGTCTGCCACGGTGGAAATGGTTTTCTTCACCGTCATGAGTAGCTGGCCCTTGATCTCCACGTCGCGGATGTCTTTCAGGACAAGGAGCTGGCTCAGGGGCTTGATGAGGTCGTCGCAGGACACTTTGTCCCAGGGGATACCTTGTGTGAGCAGGTCCTTCGCGAAGGTCGGAATCCCAAAGACAGACTGCAGAATGGAATTCATGTAGCAGGTGTTGCCCAGATTGGGGAAGCCTTCCCGGTTCAGTTGCTTGGCGTAAGTGTCGAGGGGAAGCTGTATCTCGGCGCATACCGGGGGCTCCTGGTTAAACTTGGGGCCGCTTCTTTCCTCAGCAAGCGTTTGTGTGGACAGGACGGTGGTGTCGTCGAGGTTAGTCTTCCTGCGGGCGCTGGCCATCAGGGAAGTTTCCAGTTTCCAGTTGGTGGGTTTTTCCTGCTCTCGTGAGGCCATGGGCTTCTCTCCTTTGCCTCTCTTGCTTCTGGGGTTACAGATCTTGTACTTCTTCTGTGGTTCGGGACTGAATTCGGTGAGAATCTCTTCCTCCACGTCCACGCTGGGGGCTGCCATTCTCTTGCGCTTCTTGATCTCCTTTTCTGCCTTGTCTTTTTTAGCATACCGGCTGGTGGATTTGGCCAGCGAGAGCGGCATCTTCCCGGGGAGCGGCGCCTCCCTCTCCTGTGCCGTCTCCCTGGCCCCACAGACCGGCTCTGGGTGCTTCTTGCAGAAGGGATGCCCGCCTTCAAGAAACTCCTGCTTCCTCATGGGGTCGTCGGGGTCTTGGGTATCAGACAGATGAGCCAAATCCAGGAATGCCTTCAGTTGCTCAATATCAGCAGAGGACAACTTGTCAATGAGTAAAGAGGTGTCACCTTTTAGAGTTAGATACAGACAGTGCAGCCCCATCTCACAACAGCTAACCACAACGCCCGCCACATTATTCCCCAGCTGGAAAACCCTCTTCCTCTTCTCCAGCTTGAAGGAAAACACCATGGTAACCTTCTGCTTCCTCTCCACTATTTCGATGACGGCCTCTTTCCACTGAGAAGCCCGGGTGTGTCTGTTCCGGTTCTTGCTTCGGATCTGGACCAAACCCTGGATCTTTATGGGAGCCATTGTTTTCTTCGCCAAGAAAACTGGTGTGGTCTAAAACAACAAGTAAACAAACAAACAAACAAGCAAAAACAGGACAGACACAGAGGTTGTGAGTTTAAATGCATTTATCGTATTTTTTTTTCTTTTAAAAAAACTTTAAATTGGCTTTTAGTCCTCTTTTGGACTTAAGTACAACACTATGGAAAAACTTACAATTCCCATTTAATGTTGACAATTTTGCTTATAGATTACAATGAATAGAAATTGGAGTGCCCGGGCTGGAGAGGTGGCTCAGAGGTTAAGAGCACCGACTGCTCTTCCAGAGGTCCTGAGTTCAATTCCCAGCAACCACATGGTGGCTCACACCCATCCGTTATGAGATCTGCTGCCCTCTTCTGGTGTGCAGACAGACATGGAAGCAGAATGTTGCATACATAATAAATAAATAAAATCTCTAAAAAAAAAAATTGGAGTGCCGCTGGGCGGTAGTGGCACAGGCCTTTAATCCCAGCACTGAGGCAGGTGGATCTCTGTGAGTTCGAGGCCAGCCTGGTCTACAAGAGCTAGTTCCAGGACAACCCCCAAAGCCACTGAGAAACCCTGTCTCGAAAAAACAAAACAAAAAATTGGATTACCTAACATCCTTTTAATAAAAAATTATTTCATTATGTGTAGGTGGGTGTATTTGTCTACATGTGTGTGCAGTGCCCTCAGAGTCCAGAAGAGGGCGTCAGATTCCCTAGACCTAGCATTATAGGCAGCTTTCAATTACCCTGTGTTAGGGCTAGAAACTGAGCTCCCATCCTTGGTAAGAGCAGTGAATGATCCTAACCATTGAGCCGTCTCAACTACGCTCAAGTATAGCTCTTAACCACTGAGCTCTTGAAGCTGTGCCCATTCTCTAGAAGACACAATCAGATCTAGTTTGCTCTCTTGTTTTCTGTCCCAGTGTTGCCTGGGGGATTGCCTCGGTTGCATTCATAAGTATGGAAAAGAGCCAGCTCCAAAGTGTTTGGCACTATTCCCTGCTCTGGGTACCATGCCCATAAGAGTAGAGAGAGATGTATGGAGGTGTGCATTCTCTCTCTGCTCCCAGCTGGGCCTGTCCATGGCCCAGCTGTAGCTGTGACGTCCCCAGAGCAATGGACTATGTAACCCGAGACTGTGAACTGAACTAAAACCTCCTCCCCCGCCCCAAGTTCCCATAAGTTTTACTTTCCAGAGTGTTGTATCTTAGAGCGAGAAACGGATACTCCAGGTACCTTAAGTAAAGTCTGGTGGTGGTTAAGTCTTCTCTGCCGCTCCCCTGCCC